CCAATAAAATCAACTGAAATATTTACAAAATAATAAATAGAGAGCAATATTTGCACTTTAACAGACAATTTAAAGGCATTTTGAGGGTTTTGAAGTGAATTTGGCAAATTTTGCAGCTTTATTAACGCTGAAAATTTGCGATTTTGGCTTTTCCAAATATTTTCCCTCTTCATTTTGGTGAAAAGTCAATCAATTCCAATACAGCTCTCGCCCAAAAATCTCACCAGCACGAGTTCAGAGTGCAAAAAATCAAGCAAAAGAAATATGCGAAGGAAGAAAAGTCGCGTGATACTTAAGTATAAATAACATTTTTTTTAGCATCCACTTTTGTTGCCGTACTGAGAAAGTGGTCTGTGCCACCAAATAACGGTCAATACATTTGATACTCTTTTGTTGTAAGACAATTTGCCACCCACTCAAGCGAAAGGGAGCCTTCGAGAGAGTCCACGTAATAGATTTCACCCCCCTTGGCAGGGCGGTTTGAGGGAAAATCCTTCCGGTTGTGTCGAAAAAAAAAAAGAGAGAAGCAAAAGCACGAGAGTTTCTCCTTCAGTCCGGAGTCCTTTGAGCCCTTTCACATGAAGTCCCGTGAGACGATTTATGCGCGCTTAAGTAAAAATGTGTCGTGCTATTTTGTTATTATCAATTTTGCCTGAACATTTGTGCGTGCACAAAAGATATAAAGGGACAATTTCTTCCCCTTGTTTGGCCACCACGTGAAAGAGTGTGTCTTTTGATGCCTTTCGTCTTAGGAGTTGATTCATTTCGCGACTGCTGAATATTTATTGGTTGAGCTTTTCCTCTCACGTTGACGGGAAAAAAACCTCCCCTTTCCACCCCCCAAAAGAAAAAAAAAACACTGTGCGAAGGGAAAAAATCTCTGCACGGTGATAATCTTCAAAGTCCAGCAATTTATTAGTGGGATTATCATCGTATTTAGGGTGAAATTTATCCGGCAATGTGTGTCTGTGTGTGTGTTGTATAGAAAATATGCTTTGATTTTATTGAGTCTATTTTTGGTGTCCAACCGAATAAGTGCCAAGGGATGAATGGGAACTTCTTTTTTGCACCCCCTCTCGCATGATGCAGAGAAAATATTTCCGTTTAATACAGTAATCCAGTGATGCTGGAGACGACTTTGACTCTATAGGATTTCCATGTTTCCATGGGATTTATAAATCATCTGACAATAACATTTCTCTCTCTCAGTCTTTGGAAGGGGAGGAAAGTATGAAAGAAGGAATAAATATCTGTCTTTCTTCAGCATTTCACTTCGATCTTAATGGCATATCTCTGTGGTCGAATGGGAATTGTCTACTGTAATACCCACAGAGAGACCAAGAGAGTTTCTTTTTCAACAGGCGGGAAAACTCATCAACCCTCTGGAGGAGGAAATTATATGACAATGACGTCAACATTATTAGGTTTCTCGTGCAGAGCGACAGAGTGTGAGTAAATAAATCGGTCAATTTTTCATGATTTTCCTTCAAAACATTGTCACACACACACAACTTTTGGGGATCTTTGAGGTTTCCTCCTAAGACGATTTTCCTCCTCTCCGAGTGAGTCATTTTTTTCTCTCTAGTCAGTGGATTAGAGTCAATAGTGTCAAAGGGAGTTTGGCAAAAAAATCAGGGATTATACGATCTTCCTTGTGAAAAATCTCTCGCCCCGCCAAGAAAACTTCTCAGACAAAAGAAATGATAAACCAATTGATTAATAGTGAATTTGGAAATGTATTGAATGAAGGATTAGAAGTTTTTCTCTCTCTCATTTTTTCTGCCACAAAGAGGAGAAACAAGCCTTAATACATCCCTCGAAAGAGAGACAAATAATATGCTATGTGTGTACTAGCCAACAATATTAGGTACAGTGAATAATGATCTGTGAGTCTTAATCTATATGGAATGACTGGATTAGATATTGTCCACATGTTCTTGAAGCATCAGCAGGAGGCATTTCTCCAGCACTCCTTAGGTATAACGCTCCGTTTTCCCTCCCTCCACGTCCTGCTGAATGCTTGTGTGTGTTGTGGACAAACATTGGATATATTAAATCAGCCTCCCTAATGGTTGAATATCTTCTTCACCGCACAATATTGAATGTGTTTGCTGGCTGACGATGCTGGCATTTGGATTTTCTATAAGAAAATCCTCCATTCGCCATCGGGTGGGAGGCATATGCGGAATATAATTTATCTGGGGCGATGTGTCAGTAGTGTGAGAGAGTGACAAGGATATGTAATGCCATTTATTAATCGACGTGCCTCTTGTTCTCATGAAAATTTATTGCTCTGGACCCGAAAATGGGATGAAATTTGGTGTAATGGTTGATTTTCTTCCACTTCATCCCTTCACTCTATTTCCTCAATTTCTCCAATGGACAAATTCTCCGGGTATAGAGAAAGCCAAACCCCTTTCGCAGCGCATTCCAGTGCGATGTTCTGTGACACAGAAAGCACAGCTCGTTTGAGTGAGAGAAATGGTGGAATTTGTGACGAGAATCGTGACATTGTTTTAATTTGAAAAAAATTCATCCGAAACGTTTAATAGTTTTCAATTAGAAGCTCCTTGAGTGCGCCACATTAATAACAAAGTCACGAATTCTTTTTTTTTCTTCTTCACCCTCACTCGGCGTGAATTTTTCTTCTCTCTCCCCACCGCCAAACGCTTTCTAAACGTCGAAATATATATTTCACCTCCTCGCCTTGATGGATACTTAATCCGAGAAAGAATTGCAAATAATTTACGTGGCAATTAAAAACGTTCCAAATAACATTTTTATAGAGTGACATCTTAAATCGAAAGACATCATTCACTTTGGCCGGAGAAGAAGCCAAGCGGACGGGTGTAAAATATCCGCGCTGGGGGGGTGGAAATGGATTGGTCTGGGTGGCACGGAGAGATGAAAAAAAGGGCAGCAGAAGGGGTGGACATGGAATTTAATTCTTCTTCTTTTTTCCCCCCCCCACCCCACGAAAACTCTCTATACTTTTTCCATTCCTCACCGCGCGCGCCTATTCTATGCACACAAGTCGCCTCGGGACTCGGCAAGGAGTGGGTCGGTTTTGTGGCAGAAGAATGAGGAAATGAATGTCGCGCGAAGAGCCCCAGTGAGTGAGAGAAGAGGAAGTGTGAGACTCCTGAATTTATACGCACAATTGACTAGAAATAATTAATGATGACTAATTTTCACACCTTTATGTCGAAACATTACCGGAAAATGTATAACATAATGTCACCATCATTTATTACTGCCATCTCATCATATTTCAAGGTGTAATTATTATGCAGCAATGATTAAAATCCTCAATCATTTGTTAATTTTACAATTTATCCACATAGATAATGGCTCTGTATAGAATGGAAATGGATGGTGTAGAATTTTCCGGTGGATCGCTAATTAATTTTCCATGACATTTACTGTTCTAGCATTTAAAATTGCTCATAATGACTTTTTGCCGCTATATTTATAGACTGCGGATCTGAAATTTGCGCTTTGCAGAACATTCATAGTTCACCTGATGACCACTGATGGCGCCAAAGTCGAAATTAGAACCCAAAGCGCAATTGCAAAGTCTAGTCAGCAGTAAATCCAAAGAATTTGAACAATTTTGGATTGGTTTAGACGATTTTTCTAGAATTTGAACCACTTGCTTTGAACTTATCGATATTTACCGACACTTATCGACACGAATTGCGTGTAATTTCCTATTTCAACCCAATTTTAGGAGAAAAATGCTTAAAATAGATAATCTATGGATTAATTACTCCATATTAGTCCTATTTTTCTTCTGAAATCCTGTTGAGGAAGGAAATTGCATGCAATTCGTATCGATAAGTGTCGATAACTTTGATCTGTTCAACGTGAAAAGGAACAAGTGCGCGAAAATTGAATCCTTCAATACCCTCTATGGAATTTTAGTAGCTTAGAAAGCAGTTTTCCAGTATATTTCCGGGCACTTTCCGGACTTTAAAACCGCCCCTAGATTGGCAACTCGATAAAGGCCCTAAAACAACAATGTTGCACAATATTTGTGTGATTTCTTACGCCGTGTGGTTTTGTCTGATTAAATTATTTGACGATGAAGAGAGAAAATAATAAATCCCAGGAATGATCTGACGGAGAGCATAAAAATAAATAGACCGATTTTATGGCAATTTTTACGACGGCTAAATTTGACTTTGCAACTTCTTCCACGCGGACATTTTCAACACCCCGCGGAGTCGCGGAAGCCTGCAAAAGGCATCGACCGCGCTCTCGGTATATTTTACTATTATTGTTACGATTATTATTGGGATGTGCAGATGAAAGGGGAGCCTCGTGAGGGTGTGAATTCCCAGAGGGATTTTATGACTTTCCAAAACTCCAGCTGCCGAAGAGCGCGACTGCTCTTCAACTTTCGGCGGGATCTCCATATTTATGATTATTGAATCAAAATGATGATGGAATTTAATTAAAAACCATCCCTCTCGCGAGTTGCGCCTCAATCAAACCCTCTTGCGAGAAGCGCACTCCTTGTCTTTGCCGCCTAAATCACAGAGGATTCAATATTTCGGTGCTCAAGTGTCTCAATATGAGCGTCTTTCTCACACCCCTCGAAAGGGTGAAACAGTGAGAAAATCCCACTTCACACTCCGCCAGGGGAGGAGTCGATACAGTGTCTTGAGCATCCCCATAAATTCCCTCCCCAGAATGGCACGCGAGGGAATCGAAATGCAATATTCACACTGTCGCTCGCATTCGACTATTTTATAGCGCTGAAATTGAATAATAAACAAGGTGGATTTTCACGGGGATAAATAAGAGAGCAAATGCTCTCAATTGTCTCCCAATTCAGTGTCTTCTCGTTCCAGAAAAGTCCTTCCTACTGGCAAATATTCCACTCCCGGACAGACAATGCGCGAACTTGAGCAAACGCTTTCCGGACTGTCAGAGTGAGGTTAAGTCGCACACATTCAGACGCTGTGTTTAATGAGATATTCGCATTTTTCCCTTACTTGGAACTTCACGGAGCCTCCCTTGGACCTCGCCGCCCTCCAGTTGAGTGTCAGGAGATGATTGTCCTGCGAATTCCAGGCGAAAAGGATGTCATCGCAGGCTTCAATGAGATTCTGCGTGCGCGTCAAATCGTCAGGAAGGCAGCGCTGCAGGAGCTTGAACATCTCCTCAGAGTTGAACTGGAAGGTGTCCGTGCAGGTTGCCATCGTAATTCACTACTTATTCACGCTGAGAGCCAATAAAATTACGGATTTTTCACAATGCAGAAAGAACAACACTAGAAAAGCGGCATGTTTTGACACGAAATTGCTTGGTGGATCCGTCACGAGAGGCGCTGTGGTGTTCACCACGCGCGCAATGAAATTCACCACTTGGCGGGAAATGTTCCGCATTTTGCAGTGAATTCATGACAAATTTCACCAATTATACATGATTATTGCATCGCCAGGCCGTGGGAGGATGACTGGTGGACACACCTAGGTGATTTGGTGTGTTTTAGGGGTGCGATTGCAAGAAAAATCGCAATGTAACGCGTATTTGTATTAATTTCAGCCAAATGATTTATAGCCACACTTTCAGCCCTCGAAGGATTGCGTGACCGCCAGATGAAAGGGTTAAATTGACACATAAATTGTGGGTGAGGTCAATGCGGTTCTGATATTCCGCCCATACTCTTTAATACACCACACACACACTCACTCTCCTTTGGAGGCAACAAAGAGGCAAAAAGCTGCGAATATTGCATCGTCATGATGAAAAGGAAGGGAGAAAAAGACCAAAAAAGGGTGATATTTGAGTAAAACACCCTCCCTTCTTATCACTCTCTTCCAATATTCCATTTAATGTCACCTCATATTCTCCAATATATTAATCTCAGGTTGTCTCTACCAATTTTAATACTGTCTCGCGTGTGTGCAATATTAAAATGAGGGATTGATGTCATGCTGAACTCACCCTCGCGCGCCTTTGAGGGCTGCAGCTGTAGTTCCTGATGGAATACCTGAAATTCTCCCACTCAATCAATGAGTAAATATTGGCTGAGGAAGCGAACAGGGGAAGATAATCCCTTTGATGTCCTCTGCATTTTTGGGCTGTATTTTGTCGAATCTTCGCTGGGAAGGAATGAATCTTGAGTGGAGTGGAAAAGACGTTATCCTCTAATTGGCATTATTCCAGGGTGGCTGTCCGAGAGGTGAGACTTCAGGGAGGCTCGTGAAGTGTTTATGGGTGATTTATGATCGTCTGAGTGGCAAAATTGGGGGAGAGCCGCTGCTGTATTGATTTCCTAGGCGAGATAGTTGCAGAAGTATCACATAAATTCCACCCTGAACTCCTTTTGTTGCGGGTGAAGATGAAACTCTGCGCCCGCCACCTAATAAACACCCACGACCGAGATCGAGATTTTACTCTGGGAAGCACTTCCCGCCTCTGAACAAATATATATTGTGCAGTCGGATAGTTTATTTGCAAGTTTCACACAAACACACACACACCCTATTAAATTATCACCCGCAATAAGTTGCTCGGTGGCCTTTTTCTCCGTGCTGCCCCCGGGAGTGATTGGGTCGCTGTCTGTCCATGGATTCGCGATGAACTTCCGTCCAGGAAGCCGCGTGGAATTCCAACTGTGGCCACCCACATTCGCCTTTAATTGCACTGCCGCACTGCACGATACTTCATCAGGGCGAAAAGTTGTCTGGGAGCAACACAAGAAACTCCGCCACTGAATGGTAATATATTTGTCGGTTTTTGCCAACCCCTCGAGCCTCTTCCACGGCCTGAAAATACACATTGAACATCGCACAAGATGCAGCTTCCGTGCTCGAATTTATCTTCAATACAGCCACTGTTTCTGCAATATTGGAGGATTGCTGCAAATTTATTCCTCAGCGAGAGACAAACTTTCCTCACCCCGAACTGGAATTGCTCGAGGCTTTTCCTCAGAGGCCGCGCCAAAATGGATGGCAAGGGAAAAGCATTGCGAGCTGTTTTTCAGCTCAAAATACCGAGTGATTCAAACTAAACAGACATCATTAATTAAACCATTAAAATGCTCTTTTACCCATCAAATATCAACCAAAAAATACAAGAATTTGAATTGAAAAGTGTAAATCAGAGCAAGAAAACTCCATTTCAGAGACAAAATCGTAATTCTAACCCACATTTTATCACTAAAATACGACAATTTAGAGTCAAATTCGATTTGCCATTGAAATATAACATCTAGACAAAATTACTAATTAGAATTTCCCTTCGCTCTAGAGCTGATATTCCGTGGAGAATCCAGGAAAATTGCAGCAAAGAATCATATACTGTCGCTCTGATATCATCTGGCGAGTCTCTCAGCTCACTAATGAATCAATTTTCCGACTTGTTTGGCTTTCTACTAAAAATTCTCTTTGATTTCTTCAACCACAATATTTCCATTTGCCTGCACGGCGCTTTCTCCGTGGTTATTAGTGGCGACTCTCGTCTCAAAGGGAGAGGAAATCAAAGCACTCTCCGGAGTTATGGCAATGGTGGGTTGTGTGTCCAAAGATCATCATCTATTAATAAATATATGAAAATGGCTTTCCATTGGGACGCTCCGTGTATCAAAAGATGAATCTCTGTATGGAAACCTGAATGAGATTCCGGAGTGAAAGTAAATATAAATTTTCCCCAGTGTGGCTTAAGTTAAGTACATGTGCATTTATTATTACATCCCCAATTCCATGTGATGGCAAATCCAATGGCTGAAGATAGCAAAATCGCCGGATATTTTCTCGTAATGACGCTCTCTCTCTCTATCTGCCTTTCGGGGAAATTTGCCGGTCCGAGAGATGAATGTAATTAAATTTTCACATCGTGTGGCAAAAGATGGAAAACTAATAATGACTTCGCTGGCAATCACAGTCATCTTGGCTGAATCAATCACTAATTTTCCTGCGTTGGCGAAATTACCTAATCAAAAATTCCTTTATTATACAAAGGGAATAAATAATAAAATAATTGCCTCCATTCTGACGGTTTGAAAAGCTGGAGAATTTGCTCATCGTTTGATGCTGATGAGCATCACACGCAGGGTGGTTGGGAAGCCACCCTTCAATGGGGGGGGTTGCTCAAAGGGAAAGAGTGACAAAACAAGCTTGGGAAAGTTCAATAAAGAGTTGGCCTTCGAGTGAACTACATTTTTAGTGCGGCGTGACGTGGCAATCCATCATGTATAGACGGATGTTCACAGCCACCCCACAATCCACCCCTTCGATCTGGGCCGCCCTGACGTCCTGATGTCCGTCTATAAATCCCGCTGCATATTTAATACTTCATTACTGGGGCGCTTTATGGGGTGAATCAGGGAGTAATCTTTTTGCATCGTCATCTCTTTTGTCGCTCTTCGACCATCTCAATTTGCCAAACTCCCCCACCAAAATGCTCATGTAATTGTCTCGCCTTTGATGATTGTCACCGTGTCAATAGTCATTCCGATGTGAAACGCCTGTCTGGTGGAATAATCAGCGATTTTAAGTGCCCCAATTAATAATTCAGTCGACCATTGAGTCCCTCAATCCGGCGAATAATGGGGAAAAACGGGGCCAGATGAAAATTCAATGGGAAACTCACGTGAGGCACCCCTTCAAATATTGGCAAGATCATCATCCACCTTTCAGATGTGGATTTTGCCATCTCACCGACACGAGGAAATCACTTGGCATACATTATTTATTGCCCTGCACGTGGTGTGTGCGTCTTAAGGACAAACTCCGCACAATTTACATACCACAGAGTTGAAATGATCAGTTGAGAGTCAATTCCAAGCAGAGTTGGGAAACTTTCGTAGGTTATGTTATTAAATTAAGACAGATTCAGAAGCTGAAAGTCATCATAAAGTATCAATTCTTGCTTGGAAACATGGAAGCATTCTTATTTCAATGGGAAAATAGTGATTTTAAAGCATTTATATTAAGAAAATCGAACTTAAAGCAAACATAACCTCAAAAATACTTTTTTTTGTGTAATTTTAGAAATATTTCGCAATTTTTCAAGTCGTAATACATCGAAATATCCCAATTCAGGGATTTCATTATAGGAAATTTGATGTTTATTAGATTTATTGAACCATTGACTTCTTAGCTTTGTTCCTCATCTTTTGACCTCATTTCGGTGCTCTCAAATCTCTCTAATCCACATCTGTGCTCAGCTCAACTCTAGTGGAATGTGAAAAGTCTCAATATCATCTCCTCCCTCCGCTCATAACCGTGTTGGTGGCACGGATCGAAATATAAGTAACAATTTCTATTCTATTACACATTGCCGTTTCTTTGACTTTATAAATATTTCAGGCATCGACCGAAGGGAGCAGAAGAAAGTGCCACGCGATGGAATGATTTCGCGAATTTAGCGCGCACACCAAAGAAAATTCCCCCGAAGAAAATTTATGAATATTGAATTTGGTGCTTAAGAGATAAAATCAATATTTAAAATATTAAGCGAAGATGCGCACGGAGTGTGAGTCATCGTTGGCATATGATTTTCGAATATTCTCAAGATTTTGTCACTGATATATGGCTTGTTCCGATTTTCCTCCCCCAACTGCCGAGAGTGTGGCAACAGGAGTGCGATTCGGGGGTGATGTTTGCGCTCTTCGGGGCAAATTCACTTGTCAATTCAGTTCACGATGCCGGAGAAACAAATATAGAATATCAAAATGATACATTTCGGCCATCAAGATGCCGTGGCGAGGGTGGGGGTGGCAATTCTCGTGGCTGATGCGAGAGTTATTGGGCGGAAGAGCACGGCTTCTTCGGGCGAAGTCAAGAGGCCGGCAAGAGGGAACTATCAATAGCAGAGGGACCAAAGGGTCCAAATCAATTTGTCCACATGTCACACTGCTGTCCTGCCCACCCTCAAGGTGCTCATCAGCGAAGCACTCTCTCTCTCTCACTCTGTCGACAAGGTGTTCGTGCGCGAAGGTTAAATATTTACGAGTTGTTGACACCTCCCTTGGCAAAAATGAGAATTACACAGAGACACGTGCTCATTGCAAATAACTCAAAAGTTTTGAAGTGCTTTCACCTTTCATCTCAACCCCACCCACGCATGACCACGTCCATTTCCCATGGAATTGCGTGCCACGGCGAGGGAAGAACTCAGCGCTTCGCTGGAGGAGGAAAGGAATTTCCCAAGAGCCGGGAATGATTGATGACTGATCGTTTGAGTTATGGACCAATTGTCCGATTGATGTATAAAAAGATAATAGAGATGTATGCCAGATGCTGAGCATCGCTTTGGGGGCTCAAATCGCATGGCGGGGGTGGAGAAATTTCATTGAGT